ATCAAGGACTCCGGAAAATCGAGGCTCAAGTCGTTTCTTATCATTTTATTATAAGAAACGTGAGGACTATCTGTATACGATCGAAATCAGGTATGCCCGATTTCGTGGGCTCGAGGGTGACTTCGAGAGCAAGATCGAAATAGACAATGAGCGAGCCCGATGGCAAAGTACACGCTTCGAAGATCAAAGTGCTCGATGAACACCGATGCCAAGTATGACCGACCTCGAGATAGTACCGTTATGGTCCCATAACAGAAAGAGCGAGATTCCCGCAGGGTCCTAAGATCACGGCATAAATTCCAGAGCGGATTTGTACGAGGCAGTTAGACAGAGCTGTATAATAAGATTCCATACTACAATTAGAATTGTACCTTATTTAGGATTCCCCTACTATATAAAGGGGAGCCCAATCATTGTAAAGGAAGAATCATTGAGAAGACAATATATATTTTCACTTTCTTGCCTACTGCCCATCTAAATCGTCTTATTATTATTTTATTTTTCTTGTTCATTTAACTCGAGGTCGCCATTGCTCGAGGTCGAGGTCTGCTTACACGATTGGTTTGACTTGCCTTACTCTTAAATTTACACATTAGATTCCTTGTTTATCAATTAGTATTGGATTAAATCACATATCTTTAAAACCACAAAACAAGTTTAATTGTTACTCGGATTTTAGGGTAAACAGTAATCCAAGGGATGTAATGTAGACATCCAAGGGCATATCAAGGTTAAGGGGTATGGGTTCACGTGAACCCATGTTCCTCTCCTTAAACCATGAATAACAATGTTATATTTCTTTACAGTTACTTAAATATCTGTGTGTGCACCCATGCTTAAAGACTCCTATGGTGCAATAATTATTTGGTGCACCTCTACAAATAAAATTAACGGATCAAATCCCATCTCGGACGATCTTATTTCGGCACAGAATATAGATATATATGTGAAAATCACTAAAATTTCAAAAAGAATATAATTTGAACCTACAATCTCAAAAGTGTAGTGCGTTCATGGTAAGAGATTAAAGTTAAATCCGTCAAATGTAAATTCTAGATCTACTAGTGTACCCATCATCTTGAAATCTTGGATCATCATCAATAGATAGCCTCCTCTAATGTAAGCATTAGTGGCTGCTTCTGTTGCTCGAGCACACAAAAATAACTTTATTATTGCTCCAAGCCTCTTTCCACAAGGAGTAAGCCAAACGAAATTACAAAGTTCGGTGGCTGGCCTATATTAACTAAGTTAACTCTTAGATCCCTCGTAAATACTAACTGAACCTCCTGTCACGCTGTTTGAAAAAGGTTATAAATTACTAGTAAATAAATTATGGCGGTGATGTTAGGAAAAACAAAAATTTTGCCCATATACACTTCTACTCACAAAAGAGTAGGTGTATTATTAGGTAACTTAGCAATCTCCAACTTTTTAACTAATGTTCAAGTTTTTGTTCCTTTGCGTTTCTATCTTTCTGGTTTCTTTTCTTCTTTTGGTAGAGTGACAACTGACAAGTTAACTTTAATACAACAAATTTGTGACTTACGCCATCGCAGGGTTTGCTAGTCAAACGTAATTCTAGAGCTAATATGTATAACAAACCCCACTTTTTAGAAGTGATGCATTTATTAGATAAAAGATCGATGCATGCTTTGTCTGTTGATGCTTGATTCATGATAATTCGATGGATCACACGGCCATCGTGTCAACTACGTGTAATTCAATCTGCCACAAAAAAAAAAATCCAATATCTGTATTATGAAATTTAAATCATTTACACTAAACTTGGTTATGTGAAAAAAGAAGTGAAAGTTGAGGGGGTAAAATTGGAGGAAAATGATATACATCCTTTTTTATCGCTTATTTAATTTCTCTAAAATTGGAGTAGAAATGACATCAGATAGCCACTTTAAAGGACTGCTATTTAGGAATTAGCTAGTGCATCCTAAATTTCAATTTTTCAGGACAAAAATATCCTGAATTGTCCTGAAGTTAGAATTTTTAGTTTAAAAATCCAAGACAAAATAATTAAGTATTGGCTAATCTCTGAATAGCATCCCTAAGAATGACTATATGTGCAGTTGACCCAAAATTGGATATAGGAAGTAAATGTCCCTTACTGCCATTAATAATCTTCTACATATGTAACAATAAAATATAAACTTCATAAGCATAATATTTGAATCTTTTTATATATTGAACCCATTAAATTTGAATTTTAACCGAAAAATATGGGCGTGGGAAGTTATGATTCCTGAGGAAACTGGAGAATCTTGGTAATATTACACAATGGCAAATACTAGCATTTCAACAACATGCATGTGGTGGCCAACTGTGCATGTGGAAAAGTATGGAATTTGGTTAATTGGAGAAGTGTGGAGTAATATTGACAAAGAGTGTAAGTTTAAAACATGCATATGTTGTAACTATAAATTGATTGGTCTGACCCCTTTTCCAATTATTAGTACTTAATTTTCTATGCAAGGGAAGAATAGTTTCTTGCTTTGTTGTGAATCCTCGTTTGCTTATGTGATAGCAGGATATGTAATGTATATAGTCTGCAGCACATGATCTAATTTACTTTACTGTATAGGAAATATGTGTTATTCCATCCGTCTCGAATTATCTGTTATATTTCTCTTTTACACGCTTCTTAAAAAAATATTAAATATGAGAGATCTTTGACTGATTTACCCTTATTTATGTCTTAAGATATAATCTCTTTTTATTTAATATTTACTCATAATTGAGGTATTTGTAGTCTTCAAGAGCAATTAATTAATATTAAGGGTAAAATAAAATAAAAATTAATTAGTCTTGAACTTCTAAAATGACAAATAATTTGAGACAATTATTTTTGAAAATCACGATAGATAATTTGAGACGGAGGTGGTACAAACAAAGATATATAAAGATAAATATTCCATGTCCAAGTCCAACAGTCTAATTAAGTTTTTAAAGAAATATTACTCAATTCTAAATGGTATTAAATTAATGTCCTAAATTAGTGTCTCGTTGATTTCTAGTTTGCAATAACGAAAATATTTATATGTACGTGTTTAGCCTAAGAAAAAGAATTAGGTTTGCATGTTAGAAGGCATGTTGCATATCATGATATCAAAATAAATAAAAGTGTTCCTCTTTATAGATCTAATAATATAAGTTTTTAGTTCTTTAGATGAAGTAATCACATAATTCAGTGATATACATGTGATGAAAAAACAATTTCTTCCAAGCATTATATCAACTCTTTAATTGAGGTGTTCGGTTATTTAATAGTCTAAACATTTAGATACAAAATAAAATAAAATCACATATCCAAGCAATTTTTTATTTAGTCTCGTACTTGTGGATACAATTGAAACAAATCAATCGTGATTAACCTGGATGCCACAGTTATAAAAATATAATATCTTTTTATCTGCACACCACAATTAATTTCATGAAATACATATTATCTCTCATCAGTATATGTACCGAGTAACTTTCTAAGACTTGAACAGATAAAAGAAATTACCTAATATTTTTGTCGAAACCTCATCACTAGACCATACTCTTGGGTGCGCCAAGTTATCTGGACTTCTTAATTGATTTTCGTAGATTTATATATCGTTTTAAAGGAAGATTACCCTTTACTACAATGTCTCAAGCATGGGGAACATTTCATCTCACTATAACTAATTAACTATCAATTGCATGTTTAGAAGACGTAGAGAAAAATGTAACAAAATAATAATTTTAGTTAAACAAGGGACACAACGTAAAAACTGGTAGTAGAATTAATGATATATAAAAAGCCTCGTGATGTAATTTTACATAATTCGAGCTGCCTTACTTTTAAATGCCTTTGACTTTACTATCAATATGATTAGCAAATACCCATTAAAGAGCATTAATCTAAGGCAGCTATGGGGTTAAGTGCGAGTGGAACTGCTACCAAATTCCAGCTCTTTAATTCATCTTGATCTAAAATATTTGGCACTTATCTTTATTTTGACTAACTTTTTAGAATATATGTTAGTACCTTTTAATAAGAAGAGAAAGGGAGCCTTAAAATATCGTAAAAATTATCTTCATGCTATCTATAGATCACGGCTCGCGAAATCAGTGACTGACCTTTGCATCAGGATAGATTACTTATTTGCACCTCATGAGATATTGTCCTTTCTCGAAACTTTTATGAATGCGAAATATTTTGCGCATCAAGTTGCTTATTTTTTTTTTTCCACCTTTTAATAAGAGGAATTCCAACTTGTCTTTCAAACGGATTGCGAGTGACATCATTAAGATATCTAGGAATGAACTATACATTGCTTGTTAATTCTTTGTTAATGTTTAAAAATAAATATCTATTTCTAATTTAACGCTATAAGCTTCTACCAAGCTGGTTTGACTAGTGAAATAAGATATCTGGGGTGTATTATATGTGTGCTAACTGCCAAGTTAACCCTATTATCTATTCATGCGCTTCTAATTACAAAATTTTGTGATCAATAATACTTTTAATTGTTTCTAAATATCTTTTTTTTTTTTCAAAAAGAGAGAGAGAGAGAGATTACTAAATTATGTTCATTATTGATCAGTACCAAACTACCAACAATTGATGACTTCATTAAAGGGATGAACTGCCAAGACTAAATGCTCAATCTATAGGCCACAAAAGTTCTAAGCAAATATCATACCCTTTGTAGATTGATCAGAATATTAAGTTGTATGCATCGATAGAATAAAAAGTTTACACCTTCAGTGTAAAAGTGATCTTATTTTTCAAGGGCAAATCAATTTTAGTCCGCGGTCAAAATTATTTATAGTTGGTAGCCGCAAAAATATATAAAATATTCGGTTATTATGTCGAGAGAGGCTATGCAGTGTTATGTTTCCATTTTTTTCAAGATACATGACGAGCTCTTGTGAAAAGTTATCAACTATTGTGAGCCAACTTAGCCTGAATGCTATAAAAATAGTATATAATATTAAAAACCGCGATAAAAACCTATTCATAAGCCATGGAACTATATATTCAAATTCTATTAACTTTCAAATTGCACCCAACTTTGATATAACTTTTTCAATGACAAATAAAAAAAGTTTTCAAAAGTACCCTTTAACTATATTATCCCAAGCTATTTAACTTCTCTTATTCTTACTTCCAAGCAACAAGCAGAAATAAAACAAAATCCTAAACAAAAGCCCCCATGCAATAGTTACCCAAAGGCAATTCCACTTGCTCAATTGTGTTATCCCTTGTTGCACCAATATATCTGATCCAGTAGTCACACATGTTGAACTTGTAATCCTCATATTCAATGTACTGCTAATACTGCTCAACAACTTCTCCTTTAACGAATTCGGAACAGCCCCGAGTGGACTGTTATCGAACATTTGAATCCCACGAACGAAGCATTTCGTGGGATCTTCAAATTCGTTGTGTAACACAGCCTCATACGGGTATTTCACTATCGAAATATAATGGAACCAGATCCAGTAAGACGGGATTCTATCACGATTCATGAAAAATCCACTAAAGAGTAGGAAGTAAGCAAGAATCGCTACCACAATCGTGTATCCGAGCATGACATGAGGCACGACACCAGAAAGGAACGTAACGAATGAATTCCCTGCCCAAAACGAAGCTAAAATGACACCAAAATAGAACAAAAAGCTAGAAAATCCACCATCTAAGCCAACTGCCCAGAATGTCACGGCCGCAAATGACAAAGCGAGGAATATCAACGCTGGTATCGAAGTCAAAGCATGAGAAAGACAATAAGATGATCTTCTATATGCATTATAAGCCGTTTCCCTCATGAAAATGTACCTTTCTTGAATAAAAACGGGCAATGCATCCGCACATGTATAGTAAGTCGTTGACATCGCGAACGCGAAGAACCCAAGCCGTTCTTGTACACCTTTAGGTGAACTGTCAAGTCGCCAGAACATAGTAGCCAGTATAAAACCCGTAACCATAACCGCACCAAACCGAACAGCAAAAATCTCCGGCATACGCCACGAGTTAGTGAATGATCGCTTTGAAAGTACACCAATTTCAGTCCATATTGGATTTGCAAAAGTAGGAACCATAGAAGTAGGACTAGTAGCAACATGTGTTGAACCAGGAACCAATTTTCCGCTAGAAATACTAGCACTTATCGCTTCTTTTAACGATAAGTGATTTTTATTTCTAGCTGTTGTTTCAGCATTTTGATTTGTACTACTAGTCCGTTTCATATGTTGCCATGTTTTGTTGAAATCGACTAAGCTCTTTGTCCCACCTGAGCCTTCGAGTTCGCGAATTAAATCAAGCGCGAACTCTGTACGGTTCTCATTTTCAGGTATCGGATTTCCAAAATCAGCAAAAAATTGTGGCAAAGTCAACGGCGAGCCACTGTAAACAGTTTGTCCACGTGATAGGAAAATCAACCGGTCAAGTAAACCGAGAATTCTGTAACTCGGTTGATGGATTGACATAATTACAATACTGCCACTCTGTGCGATTCGTTGAAGTACTTTAATCACCATAAAAGCACTGGTGGAATCTAGACCCGAAGTTGGCTCGTCGAGAAAGAGAATAATCGGGTCGTGGATTATGTCAATTCCGATTGAAACGCGCCGCCGTTCACCGCCGGAGACACCACGGTGACCTTCATCGCCGATTATAGTTTTTGCGGCGTTTCTGAGCCCTAATTGATCGATTAAAGCTTGAACTCTGGATTTTTTCTTCGATTTTGATAGACTCCGTGGAAGCCTAAACTCAGCTGCGAACATTAGCGTTTCTTCTACTGTAAGCATTGGATACAGAAGATCGTCTTGCATTACGTAAGCTGATATGACTTTGAGTAATTTCGAGTGCAGTGGCTCGCCGTTTAGTGTTACTGTCCCTTTCAAGCTATCTTTCGCGATACGATTCGCTAACGCATCAATGAGCGTCGATTTTCCCGAACCAGACGCGCCTAAAACCGCGAGTAGCTCTCCGTCACGCGCTTCTCCACATATGTCATTCAAAAGCACCTTTGTTCTCGTGGACGGGATTTCCTCGGCAGCGCTGCGGCTACTCCGGCTACGTGAGATCACCGGAAAATTGACCTTCCGGCGGACTTTCACACTGTATGTGAGGTTGTTGAATGCGAGTACAAAGGGAATATTAGAGTGAAGCGGGTCCATGGTAAGAGCTTGATGAAGTGGACTTTCGTCGTCGCCGGTGACATCGCCGACGTTCTTCAACAACTGACCAAACGTCGGCGATGACATTTCTACAATTTGTCTCCGGTCATAAAGAGGTACGCTATCTCTAACTGGTGATGCATTTACAATTCTTGACATTTGTTATATATGATCTATATATAAATCCCTAATATATGGTAATTTTATTTGATGGATATAATTAAGATGCGAGTTTAATGGGTATAAGGGTACTAGTAGAAGCAATAGAAGAGGGCGGCGGAAAGGACGGCGGTAGAGTTGGCAACTAAACTATGGGTTTTTTGGGAGTTTTTAGGAGGGAAATAGATGAAGGAGTTTGCGTATGAAATAAACAAGAAACAAGTCTCCCATTTAAACTAGTGAATCTACTCTTTCAAGAAAATAAAGAGCGGACAGCCTACTTTATATAGATTATGATCTTAAATATAGTACGGTTATTTGGTTGGAAATAAGTTATCCCAGTATTAATTATTTTGGGATTAGTTATTCCACATTTTCATAGGGATAAAAAAATACTACAATCCTAGATTTAATTATTTCTTATCCCTCGTACCAAACGAACACTAAGGGTCGTTTGGCTGATGTGTGGATATTTAGTTGGTTGTAGAATAATATAATATTACTATCTTATATGAGACTTATAATAATAAAATATTATATGAGAGAAGAGGAGCCTTTGAACAACGATAAAGTTGTCTCTGTGTTACCTATAGGTCATATATTCAAGTCGTGGAAGCAGACACTAACCCTGGGATTAGAGTAGGTTGTCTACATCACACCCTTTGTGATACGATCCTTCCTCGAACCCTGCATAAACGTGAGATGCTTTGTCTCGGGATGCCCTTTTCTCATAAGTTATATGAGAATTTATGTAGTAATATTTTATACATAATAAAATGCGAAATACAAATATATGTATTAATAATAAGGGAAATTAAACTATTTTATGGCAAAAATTTCCTCTTAAAATTAATAATTCATGTATAATAATCTTTTCATCAATCACTATATAACAATTTATTGATCATTATTTATTTCTGCAAAAATTATCTCTACGTTGTAACTTGTATGATTAGTATATGAACCAAATGACCCCTCAATACATATATTATTCTTGGTGGTTAGGGTTTAAGAGGATGATATTATAAACTTATTCATTAATAAATTTAATTGTGGAGGATGGGAAGAATTTATGAGAAGGAGTGAGATGACCTAAATCTCCTAATCTTTTATCTACACGTCTGGTTTTACTGGGGTAGGGGTGGGAGCTAGTTAGGGTAGGGGGAGGGGTACAGGACACGTGGGTACTTTCTATTTGAGGAAGTCTTTTATTGCTATTTGAGGAAGTTGGGTAATAAGGATTTAAAGGATATTTCTTTTATGCCAAGTTTCTTAAGTCTTGTGTATTTAGGTATGGATGGTAATCTACTGTTTGCGCAAACAATATTTATGAGTAGAAAATTGCGGCAGGGTAGAGTTTGAGTGTCTCTTTCTTTCTTCCTATGGGTTCTATAGAGTTTGAGTTTTTCTATACTAACGTCTAAAACATACATACACATATATTTCATTTGAAAAATAACTCTTGATAGCTAGATTTTAGCGGATTAAAATGTATTGAATCAATAACCGAATTAGTTTATAATTTTCTTAAAGTTTGCTTGGGTTAAAATATAGGGATCAATTGAGCCAAACAATTGGTCATAATTCAATCCCAGTTCAAAGTTATTTTTCATTTTTGTTTAGTTATCGTATCAAACAATTTAATTTTTCTTTTATTTTTCACTTTGATGAGTTTACTGATGAGAGAGAGAAGAGCAAACTTAGATTATGCTCAAAATGACAGAAAAATAATTGGTGCCTAATTTTGAAAGCCCTATATATCACCTATAATTGATATCTTCAAATGTGGGTAACTTTGTAAGTCGATCATATTACAAATACCAAATAAAACACGTCAATAATTTATATACAAATGGTAGACAAAAACAAAATCAAGTTGAAAATAGTACATAAATTCATAATCTCATCACGTCTTTGCTTCCGTTAAATTATCGTCCTTTTTTAAAATATTTTTGCAGGAGCACCTTTTTCTTTTTTAGAACCTTAATGTGAAAGATCCAGATTAAACTAAATTAGACTTCAAATAAATATTTCAGGCTCCTGTCAGATATATGTTTAAACCAAAAAGAGAAGTTAATGGTGCCTGATTTATTTTCAACACCAAAAAAAAACAACCCAATACGCACGAAGCTACTTAATAAAGTATATGTTAGAATCACATTAGCATTCAATTATGCTCAAATTTATTTTATTGCTATACATACATACTATAGGTGTGAAGAAATTGAACATCGCTGGCAATTTATTGTTCATAATTTCCATAGACAAAAAGAATTTATGATGCTATTAAATGATGTTTAACTACATATCTACAAGTTTGGCAGCCACTCCTATCAATAAATCTAACAATGGACACCTCCTATTATTGCAAAATGCAATAATAACACTTTTGATCCCTCAATTGTTAATAAATTATGATTTTCGTCTTTGTAATATTTGACTAAGCACATTTAACTAAATGATCATCCTTTTTTCTTTCTATTCCAAAAAAGGAATAATTGGCTGATAGGTCCCAGCCCAGGCACGGACATCATCCCTTTCTCCTCCTTTTTGATGTTGTGAGAAGCAATCGATCGATCCCTGAATACCATATTTGTCGATACATATATGGATATATAGATAGCGATTCTTTCTCGATAACGAGAAACAAAAAGAGAATTCACTATTATCATAATATCCAATTCAATGAATATTTTTGGTCCTTTATGTAACAACAACAACATACCCAGTAAAATTCCACTAGTGGGGTCTGGGGAGAGTAGAGTGTACGCAGACCTTACCCCTACCCCGAAAAGGGCAGAGAGGCTGTTTCTAGGAGACTCTCGGCTCAACAGAAGAGGCAATAATATCAGAAAAGAAATAAGAGAAAAGACATGTAACAACAAAAGATACCAGAAAGAAAATAACCACAGCAAATAAGTGAAAGGACAATAACACAAAACTATGCAAAACAACAATGTGAATACAACAAAGACCGCTAACAAACCTAAACAAAACTCTATCAGACTACCCAGTACAAAAAGGGAAGAACTCTCGACTACCCCCTAGCCTACCACCCTAATGTTCGACCTCCACATGTTCCTATCAAGAGCCATGTCCTCGGAAATCTGAAGCCGCGCCATGTCCTGCCTGATCATCTCTACCCAATACTTCTTAGGCCGTCATCTGCCTCTTCTCGTACCTGCCAAAGTCAACCGCTCACACCTCCTAACTGGTGCATCTAGGCTTCTCCTCCGCACGTATCCGAACCATCTAAGTCGCGCTTCCCGCATCTTGTCGTCCACGGGACCCACGCCCACGCTCTCCCGAATATCTTCATTCCGAATCTTATCCAGCCTAGTGTGCCCACGCATCCATCTCAACATCCTCATTTCTGCTACTTTCATCTTCTGGATATGTGAATTCTTGACTGGCCGACACAAGGTCCCTTTATGTAAGAAATATGTTATTTTAAAACTATTTCAAAATTATATTATCGTTATATATGAAGTAGAAATACAAGCTTAACACAATACATGAGTAATTAAGTGGTAAGAACAATTAATAAATATGTTAATTCTGTGATATTCACTGGTAAAAGGATCAAAAGTGTATGTTTCAGTTAATTGGAGGTTAAATATGTATAATCAAATATCAGAAGGGCTAAAATTAAAAGGGACCAAAAGTACTATTATTCCTTGCAAAATCGAACCACGAATGTTGGATTCTCAATCGTCCAGTCTCTGCGTAGACATTTCCGGCCCCCACCCTATTTCACAAGTAAGAGGATCAATTAATATGAAAATTTTAATGACCTTTTGACTATGAATCATTTGTTTCTTATTGTTAAACGTGCTTTTATTAGTGTCCGGCGTGAAGAATAAAGATCATGATTAAAAATTTTGCTGTGAAATTCTCAACTATTTTTAAATTCTAGTATTTAATTTAATAAATTCAATCTTTTGTTTGAGATTTGGTGAGATTTGTGGCCATTTGACGAATTCGTGTAGAGGTTATAGCAGTGTTGAATGAACGGCTGCTTTGAAACCAGACCGTATAATTTTAAAGTAGGCCCCGTTATTTGATTTGAAACCAGACGACTAATTTGAAACCAAACTGATAGTTCAATTGGTGACCCGTTCAAAATAAGTTGAACGTATTGGCTTTGATAATAGGCAATCGAGTGCGAAGGGTGTTGCGCCCCTCTTCATTTGTTCATATTAACTATCACAAAGCCCAACATTTTTCTGCTCGCTACTTGTCCACTTGTCCTTTTTACTACTTTGACTAGCTTCTAGCAAAAGAATAATTTTTTTCCCGTAGACAACGTCCTTTATCGAGCGGCTCTATCTGTCGATAATAAAAGTGATGGTCCGAGCTGGACTGTCTGAAGTAACGAGAAAGAATTGAAAAGATAATGAAAAAAAAATCACGGTAAAAAAGGAGAAATGTAATGTTCTAATAGATTTTCCTAATTTAAAATCAATGTATGGTAGTAGTTTTGTAATTATAAAATTATTGATACGAATATTTTTTTTTTTTGGAAAATAAAAATCTGCTTCTATAAAAAATATTTCATTAATGCTCAAAAGTACTTTTCTTTTTTGCCGAACACCAAAAATCTCTAGAAAAAAGTACTACTTTTATTTTGGTAAAAGAATGCCTTTAGCAGTTTAGCTTCCGAGGAACTTGACCAAACAAATTATAAATGAATTCCTACGCAACACATAACAAAGTGGCAAGAGTGGTTCACAGAGATATTTATATTATGACCTAAATGAGAGTCCAGGTGAGTAAAACATTAGAAATTATAGAAATACAAATTCTATTTCACAATGTCACCAATAGACTGAACAGGAATAACTTGAAATTCTAAGCAATTTAACTTGTATTCTTGTTAAAATAGTACGAGCTAGCCAGTTTTCGGACTGATAATTGAAAAATAGCTAGCGTTGCAGGGTCATTAAGAAATAGCCACTATTTGGCTGAAAACGGAAAGTTCCAGCATAATATGCTGGATTATGGAGCTTCTGCGTATAAACTTCTAGCATATTAATTATATTGGAACTCCGGCACACGGAAAGTTCCAGGATTATGGAGCTCCTGCATAAATTTCCAACATATTATGTTGGAACTCCAGCACATTATGAAATTCCAGCACATTATGCTGGAATCTCATATGTAAAAAGATTCTAACTCCAATATATTATGCTGGAATTTTTAAGAGTGTTTTTGTTCAGATTTTATCTTTACATGAAAAAGTGGCTAAA